CGCTCGAGAACTCTGCCAGCGAGTCGTCCGACACGGAGCTGCAAGGTAAGCGCGGCTCCCCGCGAGGCGCGCACGGAGCCGACACCAGCGCAGGGCGCGGGGAGCCGGGAGCAGGGCCTGGCGCCCTTGCCGCGCAGTCAGGCTCCCTCTACGCCCCAGGAGCGTCAGGACCTTTCCTTTTCCCATTTTCGATCTGACGGTGAACGCGGAAATGCACACGCTTTATGAAGCGCAAATTTAGTGCTTTCCGAAGGCACTTAGACTTGGTCCCCACGCGCCAAGAGATCCGCAGATGCACGAACCTACAACCGGAGGGTCTGATTGACAGCCCCTCTTGATCAGGAGCAAACAGAACGGTGGGGAAAAAGTTAGGTTTGCGCAGTTGAGTGTCAAAGGGCCGCTCGGATCGAAAGAAAGGAACAAACAGATCGAGAAAGGAATAGGGTGGTGGGCGAGAGAAAGTGCCCAGCGAGAGAGAGAGATGGGACAGACACCCCGACAAACTGGGAGCCACTGATTCAGAGGGAGAGACCGAAGAGAAGGGGTGGTGGGAAGTGTCAGAAAAGCAAACTGGAGAGGGGAAGGGGAAAAAAAAACCTCAAGTAAGAGGAAAAGTGAGGACAGAGAGGGCGAGCTGGCCAAGGGGCGCGGCCCGGCTCCGGGCAGGACCCCCTCATAGAGGGATCCCTTCCCCACGTGCGCCGCCGGAGCCCGGAGCAACCAGGCCGGCCAGCCAAGGCTCCGACTCGGCTCCGGGCATGTCTTAGAGCTGTCTTTATGTCCGAGCCTAAGGTTTTTTCTCCGTCCGGGAGCTGAGCCGGTGGGAGGGCGGCGCGGGCAATGGCAAGGCTAATACCCGGCCGGGCCCGGGCTCCCAGGTCTCCGAACGGCTTCCGCGCTCGCCGTCCTAACTCGGCGCCGCCGCCGAGCTTCCCACTTCCCCGGCCATCGGTGCCTCTTCTGCATTCATTTCTTAATCCACCATTGAGTGATTCTCTACGCGTTTTTAATCTCTATTTGTTTCTGTTTTGCATCTCTAAGTGACTTTCTCTGAGAGGTTCTGTTTGGTTAAAAAAAACAGTCAACGCAGAACTGTACTTTTGTTTTCAGAAGTTTTAAGCGTGGCCTTTGATTGGTTTTTATTTTTAAAACCCAGAGAAGTAAAGGTATAGATTCCTTTTTAAAACCAAATCTATAAATTTTAAATTTTAACTTTTTTGATATAGAAAGAATTGCTATACTAGATATATTCCTCTGTAATTTAAAATATCTACTTCATGCAACGTTATTCTTCTGGAGATTTTTAAAAGTCAATCCAAAATGGCGCGTTTCTCCGGGATTTTCTCAAAATCCATTTACAGTGGTGTTATTTTGGGAATTTAAGTTATCTAACTATAGTGTTGTATTTCCCTGGGATTTAAAAATTATCTCTAGAAGGGCATTATTGGTAAGGGGTTAAAAATCTAACTACAGCAGTGCATTGATTTTTTTAAAAAATTCCAGATAAATAAATGCCTGTGTCCGCCTGGAGTTTATACACGTACAGCACTGTATTTAGTTAGGGGTATGTTTGCACGGAGATTTCTGGCTTCTTAATTTGCATTTGCTGTGTTTCTACCTGCCTATTTTTAAGAGTTTGTGACCCTTTCTATGTTTTTAGGCATAGAGCTATGAGTTTTTCTGGGCTTCTATTTTGTTTTCAAATTCTTTTTCTTTATGTTTCAATGTTTCTGTGACTGCATGTGTTTTGTGTAGCTTCAAAGAGAGAGAGGCTAGAGCCCCCAGGTCACCTAGACAGTCTGTGAGTCTGTGCTGCCCGGCTGCCGCCAGAGGGATTTTCTGGGCCTTGAGAATTGAGGCCTGGAGCTCAGGCCGGGAATCCGGCTGTGCTGCCTGCCCAGTGGGGATCACACACGGCTTTGGGGAGAAGAAAGTGGAGGTGGTGCAGGCCACTGTCTGGTTCTTGCTCCACCAACCCACTAGCTTCAGGCTAGAAAGATTTGACTCTAGTTCATAAAAGCAGAGATCACCTCCGATTTAGAACCCCAGGAGTCCTTAAAACTTGTACATTTGCAAGTGACATCAGCCATAGGGCTCGAGACTGAGCGGAGCTGTGAGAATAGGCCCTGAGCAGCTAGGAACCTAGGCCCACTGCTCCGGCTCCTGGGCTTTCCTCCCAGACTAGCCTTACCAGAGATGACTATTGACGACCAGGCACCCGGCAGGCTCTTTACAGTGGGGACAATTCCAGGGCTCCTGGCGGGAGGGCCGGCCACCAGCGCTGATCGCCAGGCGCTTCGGTGGAACCGGGACGGGGTGCAAAAGGCATAAGCCTGAGGTGACTGGCGCCTCGTCCTGCCTGCTTCAGAGAAGGACCGCAGTGGCGAAGCCAAGGGGCCCGAGGACAGCAGTACGGGTGGCACGGGCTGCGGAGGTGCAGAGGACCCGGCCAAGAAGAAGAAGCAGAGGCGGCAACGCACGCACTTCACAAGCCAGCAGTTGCAGGAGCTGGAGGCCACGTTCCAGAGGAACCGCTACCCGGACATGAGCATGCGGGAGGAGATCGCTGTGTGGACCAACCTCACCGAGCCACGCGTGAGGGTGAGCGCGGGGAGCGCACCTAAGGGGACCCGCGCAGAAGGCTGCCGGCCGGCCCAGCGCAGCCCTGGAAAGCTTAGACCCGCGCACAGACTATCACCCTTTCCCATCACTCAGACCCTTTCCATCCCTCCACCAGAGGAGATTCCACCTTAGACCCCGATCTACCCAGCTGATGCTGAGCCCTTTGGTGCTAGCGCCCTTTGGCTGCTGCCGCCGCAGATCCCTCTGACCGGCAGCCTGACTGACCTTTGGGCTCTACCGCAGCCCCCACTCAAAGACCTGTGGCCCCAGAGGACTTTCCCTTGCCCTGTGTAGAGCCCAGGGCCCACTCGGATGTTACCACCCTAGACCGTGCAGAGGATTCTCCTCCGGCTGGGGACCTCGGAGCGGCAGGCGCCTTCCCGCGAAAACGAAAGGGAAAGGCAGGTCCTTCCTGGCAGCCTGAGGGAGACCTGATAGGAGCCTAGGCTTGGGGGTCTAAAAACTTCCTGGGGCAGTGGTCCTATCCGCAGCCAGCTTCTCCAAAATTTGAGGATATTCTCAACCTTTCTCAGCCATTCAGCCAGTCTGTAGTTGGACCCTGTCCCTAATGCCCTTTCCTGTAAGCCTGGGGTCAGGTTGGGAGAAGGAAGCTCTGGTGGACTGATGCACGAGTGACCCTCAGCAGAATCCCTTTGGAGGTTGTAAGGTCTCCAACCCAAGTTGGGACTGCAGTCTCTGTCTTCTCACCCCTTAGTTTCCAATGAAAACATGGCTTTCCTTCCAGAGCAGCAAGAGAATCATTTCTTCTCCGGGTCCTGCAAATATTTAATCAGATACTAGGAGTATGTCCCAAGCTAAACCAAGGTCCCACCTAGCCCACTGATTCCCTACTATAACCCCAGCTCTCACCCCTCCCCAGTAAGGTTGGCCAGCCCAGTGGGACACGGAGTGAAGACAGCAGTCAGTAATCCTGAACTCACTAATCCTGTCCGGGGTTTATGGTGGTAGGGGTTGGGTGGGAGTGGAATCAGGCAACATTAGTGCTGGGGATGGAGAAGGCTGAGATGCAGGAGTCTGGCAAGCTAGCTTGGGAAATAGCCCAGGGCTGGAGGAGAGTTGGGGAGGGCAAAGGACTGGTAGGATAGATGAGGATCGGGACTCGGGAAAGAAGAGGTTCTTACTAAATTTTGTGGGGAAAAGTGAAGGGCGAGAGCAGAGAGAAACTAGTAAGAAGTGAAAGGAAATTAAATATTTGCAGAAAAACATATTTGGCATATATTTAGGCGGCAGGAAAGAAATTAAATATTTAAAGGAAAAGCAAAAGGATCAAGTATTTGAGAAAAATAAAGAATCAACTATTTGAGAGAAACAGTGAAGGTCAGACTTTTGGAAAGAAGGAAAAACTAAATATTTGGAGAAGATTCAAAAGGATCAAAAATGGGGGATAACGAAGAAAATGGACTGTTTGAGGGAGAAGAAAGTGGTTCAGATAGCAGGGTGGACTAAATGAAAATAAACATTTGGGGCAGAAATGAGAATATCAAATATACCAATAAAAATGGAAACAGACTATTTGAGGAATGAAAAATAGATTGAAGAATGAGAGGAGCCACCAGGTCCTGTGTTTCAGAGAAGAAAACTACCTTTCGTATTCGATGGAGAAGAAAAAGGATGGAATATTTAGGAGACAGATGAGGAATAATTTAGGGGGAGAAGGCAGAAGATGAACTGGTTGAGAGAGAAAGAAAACAAATATTTGTTAATAACAAAAGAATATATTAGGAGAAGAAACGGGGTTTAACTGGGGAAACAGGATAAAGGTCAGAAAAAGTAAAAGACTGATATTTTCTGGGGACACAAAAGGAACCGTTGCGGGGAGAAGGGAGGGGCGGAAATATCGAAGAAAAGAAACGATATTCGGAGAGAAGGAAGCAAAGACAAGCGAGGCAGAGGGCTAGGGGTGGGGTGGGGGTAGATGGAGGCGCCATCCCGCCCTCCGCAGCCCTGAACCTTCTCCTGTCCCCCTCCCCCAGGTCTGGTTCAAGAACCGGCGAGCCAAGTGGCGGAAGCGCGAGCGTAACCAGCAGCTGGACCTGTGCAAGGGAGGCTACGTGCCGCAGTTCAGCGGCTTGGTACAGCCCTACGAGGACGTGTACGCCGCCGGCTACTCCTACAACAACTGGGCTGCCAAGAGCCTGGCGCCAGCGCCGCTCTCCACTAAGAGCTTCACCTTCTTCAACTCCATGAGCCCGCTGTCGTCGCAGTCCATGTTCTCGGCCCCCAGCTCCATCTCCTCCATGACCATGCCGTCGAGCATGGGCCCGGGTGCCGTGCCCGGCATGCCCAACTCGGGCCTCAACAACATCAACAACCTCACCGGCTCCTCGCTTAACTCGGCCATGTCACCGGGCGCCTGCCCGTACGGCACACCCGCCTCGCCCTACAGCGTCTACCGGGACACGTGCAACTCGAGCTTAGCCAGCCTGAGGCTCAAGTCCAAGCAGCACTCGTCGTTCGGCTACGGCGGCCTGCAGGGTCCGGCCTCGGGCCTCAACGCGTGCCAGTACAACAGCTGACCGCCCAGCCGGGCCACGCGGGCCGGCGGCCGGCAAGATGCCGGGGCGGGGGTGGGCGCGGAGGATCTGGCGCCTGCGCGGCCCCCTGCTCCCCACCTCCGGCTTGGTTTTGTGTTTGCTTTTCTGGACCCCACTCTGCCCTCTAAAACGAGACAAAACAAAGCAAAAAGACGTCGGAGAAAAGTGCCGCGAAAAAAACGGATGAGTTGCAATTTCCCCCGGGCTGGCGCGGGTGGTGTGTGTTCGCTCGCTCGGGGCCCAGCGGGCCCCTCCGCGGAGGGGACGCGGTGCGGGAGGTGAGCGCCGAGGCCGGCGGCCCGGAGGGGACGCCCCTGTAGCCCGCGTTCTCCCCGCGCTGGACCCGGAATGAGCGGCCGCGCCTGAAAACTGGAGCTCGGGGCCCAGGCAAGCCTGGCCCCGGCCTGGTACAAACCAAGACGCCCCCTCCGAGCTGGGCCCGGCCGAGCGTACCTTAGCTCGATCCAGATCCAAGTTGGAGCGGGCGTTGGGCCGGGGATGACGGTGCCTAGCCCAGGGTCGGGACTGGCCGTGGAGCCGCGCTAAGGGCCCCGGCGTGCCTCGAAGAGCCCTCGCCAGCCCCGCGCCCCAGAGCCCTATTTTAAGGCCACAGAGCCGCAGCAGGCAGTGCGGAAGAGGCAGGAGGAAGCGGAGGGCTCGTCTCCGAGCATCTTAGCTCCCGAGCTTCGCCGCAGGCCCAGGCCCTCCGCTCGGCTCCCGGGCTAGGAGGTGGCCCCCCTATCCCGGCGGAGAGCCTCCTCCTCACCGCCCGCCGTGCAAGAGTCCAGCCGAGAGAGCTCTGGGCGCGGCCAGGGCCCCACGCCGCGCCCACTTTGCACACCCGCTCTCGGGCCCGCGCCCCTGTTTACAGCGTCCCTGTGTATGTCGGACTGACTGTATAGAATTATAAATCTGTCTATATCGACTTGTCCATGTACGTCTATTAAAACCATAGTACAAGCGTGCTAACCACTGCCGAGCCCTGACTGCTTCATTCAGCGGAGGAGGGAGGCGGGTAGAAAGGGAACTGAGCCACCATGAGCCCTGCGGTAGGAGGGAAGAGCTGAGGCCGACCCCGCTGGGGGGCCCCTAGCCCCACATCCCCACCTCCGTACCTGACTTGTTCTGCTTGGCTCCTTTGAGGGCGCCGCCGCCAGGCGCTCAGAGTACCCTCTCCCCGCGCGCCCAGTGCTCATCGACTGAGCCGCTCAACCTCTTGGCGCTGCGCGCTAGCCGTCAAAGTAGGGACCACCAGCCCTCCCTGGCCGCCGGATTCTGTTGGCTCTACCCAGAGTGGGTCTGCAGTGACCCTCCAGCTCTTAGGATGCTGCACGGCCTTTGTCCGCCAGGAGCGTTGGGGTGGGAGCGGATGAGTACCTCGGTAGGCTTGGGGCTTCCTTTTCTGCTATAGGCCGAGTACCCCCACCTTGAGCCCTGCTCTGGCTATTCCAGGAGGACTGAGGGTGCTGTATATGTCAGAGCCTAGCCAGGGCCTCCTTCCGCCTTTCTGCACCAAAATCCCACCTAAGGGCAAATGGCTGTAAGGGAAAAGAGTGTCCATCACACAGAACTGACTTCTCACTTCTCTTCCAACCCAACTTATCGGTGGCTCCCACCGCTGCCACCATCCTCCCTCAACTTTTGGAAACTACTGAACAAGACCAGCCTGTAAACTGCCTGTAAAATTCTGCTTCCCTTAAGTAAGTCACTTCTAATGGCAAAACAAAATGTTTGCAGCTGTAGCGGGGGAGGAAGGAGGGGTTGGTATTCCGCTTCAGAATCACCTTGTGATTGGCACTGCCCTCGAGCTGGACCCAGGCAAGCCCTAGCTGGGAGTGGGGCACAGCCGTGGGTTTAGTCATGAGCTAATAGCTGGAGAGCCCTGTGCACACATTGCCAAACCAGGTCAACACTGCCTCTGAGGTCAGGAGTGTTGTCCCTGTTATACAGATGTTGGAACCAAGGCTCCACCACACTGTGCACTGGGCCAAGGTCACACAGAGTCAATAATAGTCTTTAGATCCCACAGCCAGGCATGTTTCCACTGGCCTTCTCACCTTCAGATGAGAAGTGAGGAGGGGTCCTTCCTGGAGGATGGCCCAGCCTGAAGCTGTAGGACTTAAGAGTGTAGGGTTCTGAGAGGGACAGGTCCAGATACACAGGCTGGAGGAGGGAGGTGGGGGGAGGGAAGGTTGGGGCAGGGGGCCACAGCCAGACCACCCCTCCCCCAACGGCTCCAGTCCAGAGCTCCGACCCCTCACTCTCTGGAAACATAAACACAATCACATCTGGACTCACAGTGCCTCCCCCCGCCTCACACATCTGCCAAGGCCAGGGGGCCCTAGTCTCAACTGAGGGCAGGAGGCAGGGGAGACCTGGAAGGAGGTGGGACTGGAGGGAAGTGGGAGGCAGAGAGGCCTCTCTGAAAGTCAGGCCCAGCCTCAGGTGAGAGGAAAGCCAAAGAAGGGTTCTGGTGGAGACTTAATGTCGCCATGGAGCCACAGGCCAAACAGCTGCAGCTGGGCTGAAGGGCAGAAGCAGTCCCATAATGACCCTACCATCCACCAAGGACCGTGGCCAACAAGGTGAGTGTAAGACCCAGCCGTGCGCCCCACCCAGCTATTCTAACTGCGGCTGCAGATAGTATCCAGCCCTTCCCAGCTGCACCAGCTGTAGGTCATCTCTGGAGGCGGGCTGAGGAATATACGGGGCCCTGAAAGCCAAGTCCTCTGAGAAAAGGCAGAAAGTCCTAGTCCTGCTCTGCCTGAAGACTGGGGAGGGGGTGTCATTCATTCTCTCAGCATTTACTGTGCTCCTGCCCTTGCTGCTAGGGATGGAGAAGTGGAAAACAGACACAGTCCCTGCTCTCGTGGACAAGTAAACAAACACATATAATTACAAACTGAGCTGAGTGCTTTTGAAGAAAAAGAACAGGGTGCTGTGAGTAAGAAAAAATGGAAGTCCTGCTTCAAACAGGATGGTCAGGCAAGGCTTTTCTGGGGAGGTGGTGCCATCTCTGTCTTCAGCAACAAGCATCACCATTTATTGAGCCCTCCGGGGTCCAGTACCTTCTGCTAAGTATACGCTTCTCATAGGTGAGCCCTCTTACCTACACAACAGCCCTAGAGAAAGAGCCTCTTTATCCCTTCCCTGATGAAGCCCCTGAGACTTAAAGAAGTCACACAGGAGGAAGTGATGGAGTGGATTCAAACCCAGTCACTCCCCACTCTACTTTCTGCCCTGGGCTGCCCCATGCTAAGCACCAGCAGCCACATGGGAAGGACAGTGTCTGATCTTGAAGAGATGGTAATTTCTGATGGCAGCACTGAACTGGCTCCCAGGAAACAGAAGAGCAGATTAATTCTTACCTGGTCCAGACAAAGGGAACCCCAGGGGGCTGCTGCAGGTTTAGAGAAGCCATGAATTAGGGATAGGAGGGCAAGAGGCTGGTGCTCAGCACTGGTTTGCAGGCACTGTGGGCACCAAAGGAGAGTGGGGTGAGTTACTGTGCACAGCCCCTGGAGTGCCTGGTCATTAGGGGAGAGGAACAGAGTCACCTCCCCTAGCTTTATGGCCCTGACCAGGCTGCAGGCTTCCCTCTGGGCCACCAGAGTCATCTGAGTTTGGGAAGGAGGGAGAGATCCCAACTGGAAGAGCTGCCTTGGAGGGGGCAATGCCCGGGGAGTCTGGGCCCTGGAGGTAGCTCCATGTGAACCTTCAGTTCCCCAGTGAAATAGCAGTGGGGCCTCAGTCACCAAGACGGCCAGTATGGGAAAGTGGTTTTCTGCCCAGGGACCTCCCCATTTCCTGGGCCAGTTACTTGGCTCTAGCATCCACAGGAACCCTTGGGGTGGTCTCTGAGAGCAAGAATTCGAGTCCTGGCCCCACCTCTGAGTTGCCTTGGGCAAGAGACTTAATTAAGGTCTCTGAGCCTATTTCCTGTTCAGTAAAAGGGAGTAACAACAACCACTTCACACAGCTGTTAAAAGGATTAAATGAGATAATGCACACAAAGTATTAGTTGTGGTGCTGGTGTATAGTAAGTGCTCAATAAATGGTTATTATTCCTGGTGGTGGTGGTATTACTACTACTGCTGCTACTGCTGCTGCTGCTACTACTGTGAGATGTCCTGCCTCTCTGCCTGAGGACCCTGTTCCCCACTTTCCACATTAATTCACTTCCTCTAAGTTTCTCAACAGGTCATTTCTGAAAAGATCATTCAGGGCCCAACCTGGTTTTCCCTCCCGCTTTGCTGGGTGCCATGAATGTAAATCATGATTGACACTCCTACTGATTTCCCCACCTGCCCTACCCCACCTGCCCTACCTTCCCCACTCCATCCCACCCGGGGAGCTATCCTAGACTTGGAACCTCATTAACCCAGCCTGTTGTCCTGTGGCCGGGTCTTCCCACCACACTCCATGGGCCAGACCCTGGGAGACCCAGAGGAACCAGGCCCAATTCCTGCTGTCCACGGCACCTGGGGAGAGGCAGATGGGAAGGTCCAGTTGACACTCAGAGAGATGAGCCTCGGGAGTGGAGGGGCACTCACTCAAGAGTTCTCCTCTAAGGGCTCACTGCAACATGGGATGAAGATGCCTGAACACTTCTTTTTGTGTTATCTCATCAATAGCTAATGTCAGACCCTTACTGAGTGCCAGGCACCATGCAAGCACTTTATAAGAACTGCAGCATTTGCTCCTCCTGGCGGGGAGGGGCTTGTTATCTTTACACTGGAAGAAACCAGAGCTCAGAATCAATAGCTCACCAGAGAAGGCATAGCTACTGTGGAACAGAGTCAGGACTTGCACTCCAGCCCTCTGACCATGGTCTGTGCTCCCACCACTCCTAATGTGAATCACATCTATACTGAACTGGAGAGTTGGGGGCAGGGAGCTAAAAAATTATAACTCATGTCCAGAGACTGAACTCAGCTGTGCTCTGGGAGAAAGTAAAAAGGTCCCAGGCCCCCACTTCTGTGAGCACAGCCTCCTGGAGGCAAAGCACTAGCAGTTGGGCAGGGCCACTGGAGCCCCTGAGAGCCAGGATGGAGAGACAGACAGGTGTGGACGGCAATATTTGGAAAAGTGTCTGCACACAGTCAGTGCTCAACAAAGATTTACTGAATAGAAGAATTGAAGGGCTGTGTTCCCTTAGCCCTCACTCCACTAGACATATCCTGGTCCTTTCTCCTCTCCCCACTCTTTTCTCTCCTCTCCTGCTTCTTTCCTTCCTCCTCTTGCCCCTTCACTCCTCCCTCTCAGCACAGGCAGCTCTCAGCACTGCTTTTAAAAGTGTATCTCAACAACAACAACAACAAAAACTCAATTCAGAAATGGACAAAGGACACCATGGAAAACAGTATGGAGATTCCTTAAAAAACTAAAAATAGTTAGCCATGCTATCCAGCAATCCCATTCCTGGGCATGTATCCAGAGAAAGCTCTTTTGAAAAGATATATGCACCCCAATGTTCACAGCAGCACTATTTACAATAGTCATGACATGGAAGCAACCTAAATGTCCATCAACAGATGAACAGATAAAGAAGATACGGTACACACACACACACACACACACACACACACACACACACACACACGATGGAATACTAGGCAGCCATAAAAAATGAAGTAAAGCCATTTTTAGCAACATGGATGGATCTAAAGGTTATCATATTGAGTGAAGTAAGTCAAAGATAAATATCATATGATATCATTTATATGTAGAATCTAAGAAAAAATGATACAAATTCTATTTACAAACCAAAAACAAACTTGCAAACATAGAAAACAGACTATGGTTACAAAAGGGGAAAGGGTGGCAAGGGATAAACTAGGAGTTGAGGATTAACAGACACACACTGCTATATATGAAGTAGATAAACAAAAAAGACCTACCGTAGAGCACAGGAAGCTATATTCAATTTCTTCTAATAACATATAATGGAAAAGAATCTGGAAAGAAAACAT